TCTACATTAAAGATTTCCTAAAGGTAACACTAGTATGTAATTTTTTTCTTTAAACTCCCATACCTGCAAAACTCTTTTTTTGGCTTGCATTATAATAATATATTTTTATCTCATATTAGTTTTATAGGACTGAGTGTACAAGAACTATATAAATATAAATATAAATCCAAATTGAGCTATCTGTATAATAAATATAGTTAAATAAATAGAATGTCCTTACTTATTCTGAAAGAAATCTACAGATATATCTAAATATTATATATACTAGCCCTGGCTGGTGTAGCTCAGTGGATTGAGCTAGGGCTGTGAACCAAAGAATAGCAGGTTCGATTCCCAGTCAGGGCACATGCCTGTGTTGCAGGCCACAGCCCCCAGCAACCGCATATTGATGTTTCTCTCTCTCTCTCTTTCTCCCTCCCTTCTCTCTCTAAAAATAAATAAATAAAATCATAAAAAATAAAAAATAAATAAAATAAATAAATATTATATATACTTAATTATATTTCCAAATCCATGCTTTTCTTCTTTAGGTGACTTCTATAAGTCCACTGTGAAAGATTAATTTGTGAAGGACACTCAAAATTCTGATGAGCCATTTCCTTTACATTTGTTTCATTATTTAAAAATCATTTCTAAAGCAAACTATGTTTTTTTTACTTTCAAACTCTTCCAGTTTATTTGTGAAATGATGAAGTTTTGTTTTGGTTTGGTTTATTTTGTTTTGTTTTGTGAAGGTGGTTAGTGCAGAACATAAAAATCTTGGCAAAAACATTTTATTCCTCTGAGGATTGAATAAGTTTTGCCTTTGCTTTATAAAAAAAATCAGTTCTTATAGAGGTTTGCTAAAAAATGTTCCCACTAAATATTCCCCTTAGATTGAAATTGTGTGTTATAATCAATGCCATAGTATGAATAAACTCACTATAAAAATTTAGCTTAGCATGTTGAATCCTAATTGATTTCTGAAAAACTAATGTAATTTTCGATTTTTGTCTTTTCTTCAAATTACAAAATTCATATATATTTGTTGGAAAATTTTATTCTCTTACTTTCTACCCAACTCTACTTTTTAAGGATAACCCATACCAATTGTTGAAACATATTATTCCTGAATTTTATCTATGTATATTAAAATCTATACACACATATACACAAACATGGAAATATGCAAATCTGCTTTAAAGTATTATGTTAAACATTTATTTTTAACCTGGCTGGCGTAGCTCAGTGGATTAAGTGTGGGCTGCAAACCAAAGCATCGCAGGTTCAATTCCCAGTCAGGGCACATGCTTGGGTTGCACCCACGGCCCCCAGCAACTGCACATTGATGTTCCTCTCTCTCTTTCTCCCTCCCTTCCCTCTCTAAAAATAAATAAATACAAATCTTAAAAAAAAACATTTAAAAAAACATTTATTTTTAAACTGGGAGAATAGTTTGCATGTATAGGAATATATGAATTTTGGTTATTTTAAATAATTATCTCCAAATTTATACACACTTTTTTCTTTGTTTAATAAATGAAAAAACTTGAGAAAATTAGAGGAAATAAAGTTGCTCTGGCTTATTTTTTCCACTAGTTATGAAAGATAAACTAAATTTCCCTAAGACATTCCTAAGCATGTTGGACTCCCTGAACTCTCACTAATCGATTTAGTAGAACTGCACTTGATGTATTTATGACCTTCTTAAACAGCAGAGTAGAATCTATTCCAAAGTGAAATTACAATGTGTGTTATATATTAGCTACAGGGAATTCTTGCCTTCAACATGATCCATTATGGCTGGAATTTATTGCAAGCTAAGTTCTATCCATACTGCTAACAGTTGCATAGAGAGCTAAAGTTGAGAGTGGCAAGAGTTCTAGATGACCTGGATATTTCTAATTTATGGGCACTTAGCAGGACTAAGTGGCCTCAGTGCATTGTGCGTTTGATAGTCTACTTGCAAAGATGGTGACCTTTCCATCCTAGTGCTTCCACTCAGCATAGAATTAGAGGTGGGGATAAAATGGTTTTATAGGTCTCTCTTGCAATATTTAGAAAACAAATAACCTTAGAAGGACATGATTCAATTGATTGTCTTTTAGAAGGTGTGCCAATGGCTAATAGTACAGGTATTTATTGTTTTTTATTTTACTATTGAAATATGCAATACTTTTCTTAAATCATCATTAAAGCAAACACTCTAAAATTGGTAGTAAAGATAGAGGTCATCTAATAAAATTATTTCTAGAAATCTAAGAACTAGTCTTAATAAATAATCTTTTTTTCCTCAAGCTTGTACATTTTTAGTGATGGGGCTTGCCTTGTTGTAGGATAGTCCATTCTATTCTGTACTATTGTGGATTAATAGAAAACCTCTATTTATATTGAAAACATAATACTTCGTAATACTTTTGTTCATTGTTCTTATTTTACTTCCTGGAACTACAATGAATAAACTAAAATCTCACCAGAACATTTCACAACAACCAGCCAGATGTTTAGTGAATATTATGTTTTTTAGCTTAAACATCCTCAAATTTTATCATGTATTTGAAGGTATTGAGATTTCATATCTTATTCACCCAGAATATGGTGCTCATTATAATCCACCTATCTCTGCATCTATTATTATTAATGAATATAAAGTTTATATTATTTTTCCATAACCCATTTACAGTGTTGGCATATGAAGTCAACTTTCACTCATATAATCCTGAATTATATTTTACATTAATGTATGTAGCCATTTAATATATTTTGGTAATTAAATATTTTTCAAATATATATTTAAATCTATTTTTTAAATATAGCATATTAACTATACTTATTTGTTTTTTTAAAGATTTTATTTATTTATATTTGGAGAAAAGGGAAAGAAGGGAGAGAAACATCAATATGTGGCTGCCTCTCAAGCACCACCAACTTGGGACCTGTTCCACAACCCAGGCATGTGCTCTGACTGGGAATTGTACTGGCAACCTTTTGGTTTGCAGACTGCCACTCAATTCACTGAGCCACACCAGCCAGGGCACTATACGTATTTTTATAAGTTACTCTGACATATTAAAATGATTTGAACCTTGACTTTTGCCATTAAAATATACTTTACATACTTCTGAGCTTTGTGACATTCACAGATTTTATACACATGACTTTGATGCCTTCATTTATGTCAGCAATTAAAAATGGAATGGGATAGATATTAGAACACAGTTATATGGCACTTCACTAGAGACCCTCCTTGATATGTTAATGATGCTTCCATTTATATTTTCTAAGTACAATTATTTAGCCAAGGACAAATGAATTCAACTAACTTTTGCTTTATTGGTTGTATAATCATCAGATTAAACATGTTTGCTTCAGTTTAGATATAGTTTTCACAACATCCTTGTTTAGAAATGTGACATGTGACATTTTTAATGAACATATCCTAGCTTCCAAAAATCATTCATCTATTTTTAAATTGATTTTAATCCAAATATTTAATAATTTATTTAAAATCCAATATTATAAGTATGTGTATTATAGGGTTCATGTTTTTCACTTTTTTGGATATTTAACCTTGTTATAAATTAAAAATATAATTTACATATATTATGTGTTAATATGTATCTAGCATAAAGTAATGTCACATAATACTTATAATGATTCTATTATACAATGCTTATTCTTATCTCCATTTATTGAGATGAGAACACTAAGCACAGAGAGATTTTGCCTCTAGATAATAGAGTTAGTAAGCTATGGAACTAAGTCTGGAAGCCAAGCAGACTCAAGTACACACAGTCATCTGTCCTAGGCTCAATGCTAGCTCCTGGATAGGAGATTCAGCCATGATCAAAACAGTGCCTCGGGTTTTGTGAAGCTTTCAGTCTAGTGAAGGGAGAAAAATTAAAACAAATACATAAAATATGTAATATGCCAAGTGGTGGATGAAAAATGCAATGCAGAAAAATAAGTAGTGAAAGGAGAATTAGAAAAGAGATTTCTAGCCATAGATATGGTATTTTAGATGGGGTGGTAAGAACAGGCCATGTTGATAAAATGATATACTTAGAGGAAAAATTTTATAAGCTTGAAACAAATTTTTAAAATCACAAACATACATTTGTTAGTATTAAATACTTTGACTCTGGAGTCAAGGAGTTGTAGGCATGCAACCTAATTCTGTAAGTCTTAAGCCATAGAATCTGAGTAAATGGGTTCTGCTTTGAAGATACTTTTCCCCTTCACCAAATTTACCATAAAAAATAATTAGACAATTTAGCACATATTTAGGTATATAGTATTTATTGAAGTGTAGTTTATAGTGATAAAGACTGACAACATAAAAAATCTCAATCATAAGTTTTTACTTAGACAAATCATACTTGTAGATTTAAAGTAGAGTGAGTATGGCTAAATCACAAAGTATTACAGTAAAACTACATTTACAGATATGGGATGATATTCACTGTGTATGTATGATAAATGTATATTTGGAGAGGGGGAAATCAGTAAAATAAGCATTTAAATGCATAGAATGATTATGTGTGGTTGAATTGTGAATGGATTCTCTTTTGTTTTGCATTTTAATTTTATCAGCTATTAGCATATGATACTTTAGCAAAAATATAAATGGACAAAAATGTTATACAATCCTTCTCCAAGGATTTTGTGATTAACACATTGTTTTTATAAATTAGAGCTTCATATTATTGCTTTTTTAACTTTTGGAAGGACAAAATTTGTTTTATCCCATCAAATCTCAGCATTAATTTTGTCACGTATTTATCACCAGTCCTTTAATTGTGAACAGAATGCTACTTAATACCTTATGTTTTGAGACACAAAATTGAATAATTGTAATTGTCTTCTCTTGTCCTTAAACTTGTGTGAAATGGATCAATTTTTTGTAGATTATTATGTAAAAACGAACAAGCATAGAACATTTTATTAAATAAGTCCTTTGACAGTAATAAGAAGCTTCAATTTCAAAAGTTTTTTTTAAAGATTCAATTTCTGCATTGCAGCCACCAAATAATATACACTCCATCGTGGTGAAAGTCCAGTGTGTCAACAAAAAAGTGGGCACCGTTATCTTCCACGAAGTTCGAATAGTGGTCAGAGACAGGAATGACAACTCACCTGAATTCAAGCATGAAAGCTACTATGCCACAGTGAATGAGGTCAGTTTCTGTGTACTCTCTGTGTTTTTTTATACATATGGCTAACTGTATAATATATATATGGTTTAAAATTATTTACAAATATCAAGAAAACATTTGAAAGAATAATTTGTTAGAAGAAACAGGGTCTGGATGACTTCAGACATAATTTTAGGAATATACTTTGTTATAGAAAAATTGATTTATTTATAATAATGATCAAAATTTTAATATTCATAATCATCTTGGACAATTTTATCCCTGATTACACATGCTTGCTTACTGAGGCTCCATGGGAGATATTTATTCTCATGGTAAGATGATAGATGATGCATTAATTTATTTTCATATCACTGAAGTGGTAGCAGCAAGTAAATCCTGTAAGACAATATATATTTAAAATTCTATTAATAAAAGTTATTTCCTCAATTTTAAGATCAAGGTTTGGCAAATTCAAAATATTTTATTATAAATCACAACTAAATTCTTATAAGAAAATGTTGATCAAATTATAAAAATATTTTGAACATAATATAATTGCTTTTATTAGTTTATTTGCTTTGTTTTATTTTTAGCCAAATCCATGAGTGAAGTACTCCTTTTATATTTTCTTAAAAATAACCATTACTCTATTGTCATTATTTTCTTATTCCATTAAGTTAGAAAATATTTCTGAAGTCCCTCTAATATCACCTATTTTATATACTTTAACAAAAAAACCTACATTTTAGCAGTTCTCTATGTTCCAGATGATTTTTTTTAACCTTAACAATATGTGCCTTCTTTAAAGGAGGAAATCAGTACAGTTTGGGTATTAAATGTAGCATTGACTCTTTAACCTCTATAAGCTTCTTGAAATTATTAAAATGCATCTCATTTATCTCAACATTCTTCTATTCATAAAAAATTTAAGAAATGGTACATATCATAATCTGAGATTTTATAGTTTGTAATTTTGATGTGGTTGTGTTTACCTATGCCACCATCTTGACTGGAAGTCCCTGAAAATTCACAGTTTGTAGTACTTTTTAAAAAACCCATAAACTTCTTTTAAGTTTAACGGGATCTGTTACTGGGGAGTCAGTGCTTAAACTTTCTGAGCTACCTTTATTTAACAGGTTTCTACTCAAATAGAGAGATGTTAATTAATATAATTAATCAGGTTACATGATTAATTATTTTAGCATCTGAAGTATATTATTTCAATGAAATTTTGCTTTGTTTATTAGCTTCCTTTGGACATAAACTGATAGTCAGGAGAGTTATGTTAGGCAATAGGTCTAACTGGAAAATCTATTCTTATATTACATTTAGCAATTCCTGGATACATATCTTTAATTTTTGTAAAGAAATTTATAATGCTCAATTTGAATTTCAAAGTATCCAATGTGATTTAACTACTTCCACTCACCCCATCCAATCTTTTCAACACCTTGCTGAAACATAACCTTTTTAAATACTGTTTTAATCATGCCACTCTCCTATTCAAAAACTGTAATTTCAAAGTATTGTCAGGAAAAAGGCCATCTATATCTGTTGGCTGACTTTCAAGACCTACCATAATCTGAACTTTTGTCAAAGTATTCTTACATTTAAATCCTCTTTGATAAAACTTCACTTCTTTCAGAATAATTTCTTCATCTCATAAATCAATCCACCTATTAGACTTTGCTCACACTGTTCATTTTACTTAGAATGGGATCCTCCCTACTTTTCAAGTCTCCAAGTTTTATTCATGTTTTAAAGTTTATCCCAAGACCTATTTCTCATTTTTTATTTCTAAAGTTATCCCTAACTATTCACAATCATTAATATTCAGTTTCTCCAAACTCTAAACTCCTGCGGTCTCTTGGTAAATGTCAATTATAGTGATAAAATTTGTAGAAAAATCAAACATTTTATCTTAAATATTATTTGGAGAGGATCAGGACTTTTTTAAAAGATTTTATTTATTTATTTTTAGAGAGGGGAAGGAAGGGAGAAAGAGAAAAAGATCAATGTGTGGTTGCCTCTCATATGGCCTCCACTGGGGACCTGACCCACAACCCAGAATGGGAATCCAACCAGCAACACTTTGGTTTGTAGCCCCAGCTCAATCCACTGATCTCTGCCAGCCAGGGCTGGATCAGGTCTTTTTACAAAGCTGTCCATGTGTCTTTTTCTCTCAACACACTTCCCTGTAGCCAACTAAGACAATCTTATTCCACTTGTACCGTGGTCTTATCTTCTATGGTTTAATAATATTATTCCCTCCTTTGATTTTTAATCTTTAAATTAATTAATTTATTTTAATTCATTTTTTATTGTTCAATTACAGTTGTCTCCATTTCCCCCCTTTGATTTTGCTCATACTTTCATATCTATTTTCTTGAAAAATCAAAAGCTTGTTTAAGCCTCAAGACATAATCAGAAAAAAAAAAACAAATTCAGCTATTTTTTCTTAAAATTTGTTGATTTGAAAAATTCTTCCACAGTGTACTTCTCTTAGTTTCATTGGCTAGAATGGAGGTTATATATTTATATGTTTATATGCATATATATATCCATTGGGAAATAAATTGAATATATATACATATATGTGTGTATATGTATAAATACATGTACTCCAACTACAATGCTGCTTGTGTCTCCTGTAACTGAATCCTGCCTGTAAAATTTTTAAAAAATGAGATAGATTTTACCTTCTGTGCAAAATTGCAAGATTTTTCTATGCTGTGTCTCCTTTTAGGATGAGTAACGAATTTAATGAAGAACAATCTAAATGGTTTTTTTTTAATCACTCAGGGTTTAATAGATTGTTGGTGTCAAAATATTTTGTACTTCACTAAAGTCTAAAAAAAGGTATAAAGTCATTATCACAGATGTATAAAAGAAGTTTTCAAAATCAAAACCCTGATTAGTCACTCTCCTTATTCACTAGGAGAATACTCAGGCCTGGAACAACAGAATGGATTGACTGTGTTACACATTAAATGAGTCACAGAGTTGGGAATAAAACGCAAGTTCTCAGTTCAGTCACCCCTTTATTACTCAATAATAGACATCTTATTATGCTACATTACAACCATTTTCCTGTAACTTATTTAAAAATAAATATCAGGGTTTATACTTATAGTATTATATCATAATATAATCACACTGAACATTTTTATGAATGCATTAAATGTCAGCTTCTTTTTTTAAAGATTTTATTTATTTATTTATTTTTAGAGAGAGGGGAAGGGAGGGAGAAATAGAGGCAGAGAAACATCAATGTATGGTTGCCTCTCACATAGCCCTAAATGGGGACCTGGCTCTCACTCAATCAAGGCACGTGCTCTGATTGGGAATTGAACCAGTGACGATATGGTTTGCAGTATGCACTCAATCCAGTGAGCTATACCAGCCAGGGCTAATTCTTGCATTTATTTCTCTTGGTGAGTAGATAGCTTGCAATCTCTCAGAAAGAAAGAGGGCAAAGGGGGAGGAGAATGGGAGAGAGAAATGAAAAGAAAGACAAATTTCAAAGGAAAGCCTTTAAATTTTAAGTTATTTTAAGTCTGTATTATGTAGCTTTTTTTGCTTTAAATTTTTGAAAATGTGTTCACTGCAATATGTTTTATAATTTTTAGTAGATTTACAGTACTATACAATTTCATTTTATTATGTAGGGTGTGCTTTATCAGTGTGATATTTTCTTTTTACTCAATTGAGAGTAACTGTGTTTGAGCTTCAGAAGGAAAATAACAGCTTATATGGTGCCTGTGTTTTCTAGAAAATTTGCCTTTTTCATATTTCACTAGTCAATATTCTTAGATTAATTATGGTTCATTATAGTTTCATTTTGTTTATTCACTTAGGTTATTTAGTTAAGCTCATATATTAATAACAGAAGTACAAGGTCTATCCAGAACGTATCCAGCCATGTACTATAAAAAATAGAGACATTGTAAATAGGACAGTGATGCCTCACCCCTTCAAAGTTGGCACTTTGGTACCTCACACAGTTTTTTCTCCCAATAGTCATCAGCTGCCCCATTATATTTTCCTGAATTTCATTGACAGTCTGAAATCTCTTCATTTTCAAAGGCAAGTTTAGTTTTGGGAAAAGCCAGGAGTGGCAGGGTGCCAAATCTGGGCTGTAGGGAGGCTGTGTCACCTGGGTGATTTGCTGTTTTGACAAACATCTCTGCAGGAGACATGATGTGTGAGTGGGCTCATTATGATGAAGCTGCCAATCACCAATTGCCCATAACTATAGCCTTCTGAATCATCTGAAGAGTTTCCACAGAGGAATGTTCAAGCTTAATGCAAAATTTGATGCAAATCTGTTGCTCAACTCAATCGTTTTGAATGCCACAACCACACAGTACACATGCTTACTCAACAGTGCCTAAGGCCCCCACTGACTAGTACAATGAAGTCATCATTGTCCACACATGCACATTCCAGTCTACTCTCCTTGGTTGCCAGGTTACATTGATGTTGCACAAACCATTCTCATCATATTAATGCTGGACTTTTTCTGGATAGACCTCATATATGCAGTTTTTTTAAATTATAATAAAATATATTCTTTTATGTTCTTACAATATTTATTTTAGTGATTTACTATTATATTCACATATAAATATATTTATTTTTTATTTTATGATTTCTTAAACAATATGCCTAAACAATTATAATGAACACTTTCCACTTTCTATTATTCTATTTCAATAAATAATTTAAGGCTATACATCTTACTTAAACATATTTTTAAATTATAACATCTTTGTTTCAGATGTCACTTTTAAAAATACGTAAAGTTATATGTAAAATAAAATTGTCTCATGCAGCAGTGATTGAATTAGAGTTCTACAACTATGGTGATATTTTAAATATTTTATGATTCCTGAAACTTTCATAATGCAACAATATTTTACCAATAGGATATTCAGTTTCCTGAGGATGCAGTTTTTATATAAAATATTTTGTTGAAATTTAAGTCTTTAGTTAGGTTCAAAAGATCTACTTTTTACTCTTAGTCAGTGTTAAATAAT